GCGCCGACGTTCGCCTCGACGCGACGCGTGGTCGGCGTCCGCAACGCGCTCAAGACGGGCAAGTACATTGCTGAGGCGGCGCTCGCGGCGCCCATCTCGGTCGGCACGCACCACATTGTGAGCGACGACCCGGTCAGCGACAGCAACAGCGAACACGACGGCGACTTGGAGACGGCCAAGTTTTTCGTCTGAAATTGCACGTCGCAGCTGCTTTTCTGCATTTTCTACTTGATAACAAGCAATGGATTCTTCTTATTGCTCTGCTTCTAGTGCTGAACGTGGCGAACGTGCTTGGATCGTGCGGCGGCACTGCGGACGTGGTCAACATCGCGCCGTGACGAGGTTGATGGGTCGTCGACTCAAATATATAAGAAGCAGGATTGGCGACCGAGCTTAGTCACGAGTTCTCTTATGGCACAACTGACACCTTGGAGCAAGCGCCTGTTAACATGGGGACAAGTCCATTCGAACAGCGAGCAGCTCGATGCAGAATAGGCGACAGCGAAACCTGGTTGGGTCTTCGGAAGTATGCTGCCAAGAGCTTCGTGCCAGAGGTTGCACGTGACAAGGGAATTCGACTCCTCGAGTCAAGTCGTTGGATTTCGAGGCCATTGACCTAGCGAAAGCAAGGGAACAGAGAAAGCCTTGCAGGTAGCATCGCATCGACGACTGCAGCTCAAAGAAGGATCCAACTCGAAGCTACAAATGTAAGGGGCAATACTGCGCGACTCCAACAACTCTCAATGTGTTGGAGAATTTGTTGACCAGCAATTGGAGATACCGACTGTTGTCGGGGTACGAGGGGCGGTCGCAGGGCTGGACATGATCCGTGGCTCAGTGTTCCCATGAGGACACAAAACGGGCAGCCAGATCTCAGCAGGATGGCTGATTGGACTCGGTCGCCGCACATCTTCTGGTACATCAGCAGGATGGTGTCGCCGGGAGGCGAGAACAAGCGGAAGTGAGGCGCCCACCCCACTTCGAGTCCTGCTGAGCAGCGCCGACAGAAGGCCTCTCAATGCCACCGCCAAGTGCAAGAAAAGCATCGACGGTCGAGAATGTTTCGAATCCGAGGATTCGAGTCGAGAACGTTGAAGAACTCCAAGCTCTCGAGTCGCCTAAATAGTCTCCTGTCTGACCAACGCACACAACGTCTACAGCAAGCACGGTACACTATAGGCACACTACGCACGTGGCAGTATGCAGGACTGACTCTCGGACCAGCCTTTCTAGTTTTTGCGTCGCTCCCCTACAGCTTAACTACCCATCAAATCAATTCACCAGGGTTGCATACAGCTACAGATCGTCATACATTTTTAATACCATATATATAATGTCGCTGGGCCATTACGACGCTTCGTCGCCTTCCGAGTCATCGCTGTTGCTGTCGCTGACCGGGTCGTCGCTCACAATGTGGTGCGTGCCGACCGAGATGGGCGCCGCGAGCGCCGCCTCAGCAATGTACTTGCCCGTCTTGAGCGCGTTGCGGACGCCGACCAGCGTCGCGTCGAGGCGAACGTCGGCGCAGAGACGATCGACCGACGCTTCCAGCGCCAAAAGCTTCTTGACGCCGGCGCGCATACCGTCCGTGGTCCGCGTCGCGCCGACGTGGTCCCACATAATGGCTTGCAGCTCGCTGAGCACCGACTGCACGTCGGTCGTCGACGCCGACGCCGTCGCCGACAACGACAGCGCCGGGATGCGCACCGACTCGGCAGTCGTCGTCGTCTTGTCCGAATTCAAGTAGTCGGACGCGACAGCACAGCCCCACACGAGCGCCTCGAGCAGCGACGTCGACGCGAGGCGGTTGGCGCCGTGCATGCCCGTGCAGCTCACTTCGCCCGCCGCGTACAGCCGCGGGACGCTCGTTCGGCCGCTGAGATCGACCTTGATACCGCCGCAGTGGTAGTGGGCGGCTGGCACGACCGGCATCGGCTCCTTGGTGAGGTCAATGCCGCGCGCGAGGCAGTGCGCGTAGATGGTCGGGAACCGGGTCTGGAGCCAGTCGCTGTCGAGGTGCGAGATGTCGAGGTACATGCAGTCGTCGCCCGTCTTGTCCATCTCGCTCAGAATCATGCGCGCGACCACGTCCCGGGGCGCGAGCTCGCCGCTCGGGTGGTAGTCGGTCGCAAAGAAGCGCCCGGCTTTCGTGCGCAGCTTGGCGCCTTCGCCCCGCAGCGCCTCGGTCAAGAGAAACCGGCGCTCGCCAGGAATGTAGAGCGTCGTCGGGTGGAATTGCACGTACTGCATGTTCTTGAGGCGGGCCCCCGCGCGGGCCGCCACGGCCACGCCTTCGCCGCGCGCGCCTTCCGGGTTGGACGTGTTGCGGTAAATGTCGCCGAGACCGCCCGTGCCGAGTAGCGTCATGTCTGCATGCAGCACCTCCATCGCGTTCGTCGACGCGTTAATGAGGACGGCGCCGACGCAGTCGCCCGCGTCGTTGAGCGCGAGGTCAAAGACCACGCGGCCCGTGAGCAGCTCAATGTTGGGGTGCGCCATCACGGCGGCCTGCATGCTGGTGGTGATGGCCTTGCCCGTGTGGTCGGCCTTGAAGAGGATGCGGGCGCGGTTGTGCGACGCTTCGAGCGTCAGCGCGAGGTTGCCGTTGCTGTCCCGCTCGAACGGCACCTTGGACACGTCCAAGAGCAGCTCTTCGACGCAGCGCGGGCCCTCGGTCGCGACCTTGCGCACGGCCGGGTCATGGCACACGCCGGCGCCGGCGCGGTGGATGTCGGACGAGAGGAGCTCGGGCGAGTCGTCCGTTGACTTGTAGATGATGCCGCCCTGGGCCCAGTAGCTGTTGCAGTTGGCCGGGTCGAATGCGGCGCCGAGCATCGTGACGCGGACGCCTTCGGATGCGAGGCGCAGCGCCGCGGCACTGCCGGCGACGCCGCAGCCGACGACGAGGGCCTGGACGCGGCGCACCGGAAGATTGGTGGCGTAGGCGTCCGTGTACGAGCTCGTCGGGACGCGGTAGTCGGTGGCGCTCTTCTGGATCGCGCTGCGGCTTCGTCGGCGGTTCAATGTGGAGTCCATGTGGCTGGCGCTGTGCGGAGCGAATGAGAGAATGGCAGCGAGCAGCGGGCTAGACACTTCAGCAGCAGCTGGCGCGACGACGCGAGCGCATCGGAACCCAATTTTTGGCTGATTTCCTTGCCTTTCCCATCGCGCGACCTCGGTGGGGTCCTCCGAATAATATTGAGGTCATTGTTGACTTGGAATTTGTAACAAAGTCAGCGAGATACCTTCGCTTCGTACCGGGGGCTTACCAAAACGGCGGAAGAGGCAGACCAGAGGCGACTGAGTCATCGGGCCAATGACTCACTCGAAGTTCGAAGGCAATCTATTACTAATGTACCGAAATAGTGTGCGCGGTCGGAACGGGCCGTGCGGCAAGGTGACCGCTCCTCCGCGCGTCTGATGGCGCTGCGAAGCAAATCCGACAGCTAGTTCAGTTCTCGACCCGTTGGAGCGAAGGAGGCTTAGCTTCCGACGAGACTGCGACCGCCCAAGAGGCCTATAAACGTGACTATAGTACCTCGTCGTGGTCCATGTGGTCCTGCAGAGGAACGCGCAACGTAACATATCTCCCGCCGCTCTGAGAGTCATGAGAGTCGTCGTTGAAATGTGCTTCTCAGTGCACTTGCCGCACGTCCATGTCGCGCAAGAGCGTTTATTTGCACGTTTCTACTGCTGCTTGCGTCTCCTCCAGTGCGAGAAGGTGGGCAGAGGCATCCTCGTGGTCGGTCTGCAAGTCCTCCGCGTGCGACGGACGCAGACGACCGAGAGAAACATCTCGGGTCAACGTAGAGCAGGCCTGACTACCATGATGCAAGCTCTTGGCGATGTCACAAGTATGCACGGTCACGGAGTCTTGTGTGCCTCTAGGTCCAATGTGGAACTCCATTCGACAGCCGGGCAAGTTGCGCATGTCGGCCGAGATCTCGACACCGCACGTCAATGCGGCTATCTAATGGCGGTTGTAGATGATGGCTCAGTGCAGCAGATGTACAAGCCCTCAAAGCAGTGCTCGTGGTGAAGTACGACAGAGCACCTCACACTTCCGCGACGTCCCTTGGTGTGCACGCTACCTGATCCCTCGCACAATCTCGAATCACGCTCCTCGGTGAAGCACCGACCAAGCCTCATGAGCGCATTAGGGAGTCCACAATATCTTTATAATTGCATGTAATATAACTCAGTGCAACAGAGCACGTCACAGTCTCCACCGATCAAAGCTGACGTCTAGCTCGCCCGGCAGCTTGTCGTCGTGGAGCTGCTCCGGCATCTCCAGAGCACCGTTACCGGTAGACACTGTGATGTTGGATGCGCCCTCGACATCGCAAACATCGGTGGCGTCGACACCTTACACGCGGCGAAGCTGCACGCTTGGGCAAACGCAGTCGGGTACTACTAAATGTCCAGTTGAGCCACAGCTTGGACTTGGTCATGAGCCAAAGGCAGAAGTCGCACGGTCGCGCCGCGCGATGTCCGTCACATTGCTGTCAAGTTGTGAGTCTCGTCAAACGCGGTGATAAACGGACCCCGACTGGAGTTGCAGGACGGGCTCTGGCGTGAGAGATACACGTCGCTGTGAGAATTGAAGCCCTTCAATAGTTTTTATGGTTTCCCAGCTCATTGCCGCTTGATTAACGCGAAGAAACGTCATACTAGCATCTATCTACGCATCTACAGTAGTTCATTGCCGAGCTATTTACAGTAGGGTGGAGCCTGCTGTTTGGTGGTGAGACTGTGGTCCGATTATTGCTGGAATGATCGCCTCGTTTGATTGGTCAAAATCAATTGTCGCTGAGGCACACGTTAAACCCCGGATCGGGTTTAGCCCCGCGTTAAACGCAATTCGAGCGTGTTCGTGCGTGCTGACAACTTTACTACCAACAGCTCCGAGCTCGCAACCCACGACACCTTGACCAACTACGGTACCGAACCCTCTAGCCCTGCGTAGGATGAAAAGTGTGCATCCTATGCGCCTATATGCCTACTTGTTGGGTATTGAAACCCAAGACGCAGCTTGGACCAGTGAGCTCGGACACTCGCGACGCCACGTTCCGACTGTCTGGACCATCTGCCACCGTGGACGCCGTCACAGTGCCGTTGTCGTCCGCGCCAGCAGGTCGGACATCATACGTTAAACCAACTGCCGACTGCAAGCAGCCTCTCGAGAAAACACTGATGAGCCCGAGTATCCAGCCGCATGCAGATCGCGCCGCGCCCTTAGCTTAGGTCAACGATAGGCCTGGACTAGCATACCGGTACTAAGATCTGGACGCCACCACCATTGATGGAGCCTGCAACGAGTAGCTGGCCGCAGGCGTGCGCAGACATCCAATCGCATCCATTTCGCAGCCGCCGTCGGACAACTCGCATACAAACTTCAAGCTTGATTTTCCGACGGCGGCGATGGCGTCTTCTTTCCAGTTGGCCATTCTGCGATTTCGCCCATGGTCGCGCTCGGTCTCTTCAAGCTCGCGTCGTCGGCGATCATCTTTAGCCTCGCGCTCGGCGGCGGCCTCTTCCCTCTCTACTGCGTGCGGCCCGACAGCGTGGTCCACAGCGTCCTCAACATGGCGGCAGGCGGCATCTTCCTCGCCGGCTCCTTTGTGCACTTGCTGCCAGACGCGCTTGAGAACGCGCCGCTCGCCGCGCTTGGGTGCCCATCCACCGCCACGGTCTGCTTTCCGTTTGCGTGCTTCTTCTACGGCCTCGGCTTCGCGCTCATTCTGCTGGTCGAAGGCGTTGCGCACGCAGCCAAGGACCGATTTCTGCCGCACTCGCCGGCGTCGGCGTCGGAGCTGCTGCCGCTGCACGTCAAGACGCACACGGAGCACGACGACGACGTGACGCACGCGCACAGCCACAACATTTTGGACACGCCCGACACGACGGCGGCGTCGCTTGCGATCTTTGTCGCGCTGTCGTTTCACTCGCTCATGGAGGGCATTGGCATTGGCGCGGCGCCCGAGTCGGCGTGGAACCTCCTCCTCGCGATCGTCGCGCACAAGTCGCTCGCGGCCATGGCGCTGACGCTGGAGCTGCAGCACCACAACGTGTCGCGCGCCAAGATCGTGCTGAGTCTCGCCGTCTTTGGGGCCATGTCGCCCGTTGGGATTGGCCTCGGGTACGTCCTCGCGGGGGCCAACCCCGCCGAGTCGCTTGCGAGCGGCATTTGCACGGCGCTGGCCGGCGGCACGTTTTTGTACGTGGGTGCGATGGAGGTCCTGCCCCAAGAACTCCGCAACAAGGAGCACTTGGGTCTCAAGCTCACGGCGTTCTTGATCGCGTTTGGACTCTTTGCCGCGCTCGCGCTCTGGGTCTGATAGCTCGATTGGTCTTCTATTTCCCACCCTTATTAACCACATTATCTAACACATCAATTACGTTCTAACTTTGTACAAACTGTGTGGTCAAGCCGGTCGCTGGCGTGGTCTCGCAACACTACAAGAGCTCGGACAAGTGCTACTAGTTCCAGATTGGCTAGGTGTTGTTGTCGAGCTGCCTCGCTGTGGAGATGGAGGCTTCTTGTGCGGTCAAAGTGGTGCACCTTGATGTCACCCATGGTGGTCGTCACGTACAGGTGGGTCTCGAGCCCTGCCTCGAGCTGGGCCGTGTGTGCCGAGAGACCCGATTGTATCTAACATTAGACGTGGCCGTGGCGCGACCGTGGACCGGAGTTTAACATGCAGAGAGCTGGAGCGTTCATCTAGTTTTTACTCGAGGGGACCTTGCAATGATGCGGCTACCTTCCCTCGAGAGTAGCTGGAATTGATATCCTTGGAGAAAAATCAGCCAATGAGGGTGACCAGATGACGCAGCGTTGGACCGATTTTCGAGCAATGTGGGTGAGGGATTCCACCCCCGCCACAAACACGCGACGTCGGCGAAGAGAAGGAGCGTACGTCACGTGTGTGAGCGCGAGCTTTCGTCAACTCACATTGCATTAGCGACAGCGAGACGAGAACGATGAACCGTGCGCAAGTGAACCATTCCCGTCGCTGGACGCAGGCTCCAGCCCCCGACCAGGCGCAGCAGCATCGCACCCAAGCAATGCTCAACGACCAGCTTCGGCACCAAGCGCTCGCACTCAGCGCTGCTCAAGATGAGCTTCAGAGACTCCGCCGGCAGCTTGCGATTGCGGACATGGCGGCCAACGCCAAGATCGACCAACTCGGTCCGCAGCTCGCTGCCTCGGAGTGCGCTCGAGAAGCCGCGGGGATCGCTCGTGCGGAAGCGCAACACGCCGGCGGGTCGGCCGTTGTCGAAGCACCCACCCACCGTCTATCCTCACGCCCAGCCGACCAGCGTCCCAGCGCCGATGGATTCCAACACTGGCGTCGGTGGTCAACGGGGTGTCGGTGGCCATTACCACTCTGGATACCGGCCAGCTTCTACCGCGCCCAACCTGCGCCTCTTCAAGGACATGGTGTTCACGGGCAAAGCCGGAAACAACGTCGCCGGCCATCTCCGCCACTTGGAGGACGCCATCGAGCGCGACGTTGCGCTCAACCACTCGGTATGGACCGACGAGCACCGGTACCGCGCACTCAAGCTATCGCTTGGCCCTGGCCCGTCGGGGTGGGCCAAGAGAAAAGAAAACGACTGGATCGCTGGCAACAGCAACTTTGGCTATGACGACCTCGTCGACCAGCTCAAGCTTCAATACGACACGAGCGACCAGCTCCTGGAGCTCATGAAGAAGCCCAAGCAGTACGGTGTGACGTGGAGCGAGTACATGCAGTACCTTCGCCATCTGCAGCGCAAGACAAGTGCGCCCAACAGCCTTGTCATCGACATCTTCTGCCGCTACGCGTGCCCTGAGCACACGGTCGTGCTCCTTGCGCACTCTGCGTTGCGTCGCGACGACCCGGCGACGATGGACGAGCTCGTGGACTTGCTCGTTGCGCTCACTGGCTCTGGCGACGATTACGGTCGGCCGTCGCGCCGACAGCGCAAGGGCCGTCGTGCTCGAGCACAAGCGCCGCAAGCCGGTGCCGGTGCCTCGACAGACACTGCCCCCGACGGTGTCTCGACCACGCGCACTGGCCGTCGGCAGCGCGACCGCGCCATCCGGCCCGCTGCGTCGTCGCCGCCAGGTGTCACCACCGATGGTTGGCCTTCGTCGACCTTTATAATTTCTGGCTGCACGCATCATCTCGTCAACGATCTGTCACTGCTCCGCAACCCAACGCCATCGAGCCAGCGCGTTATCGTCCTCGGCCAGCAGATCACCGCGACGGCCAAGGGCTCGCTCCGCCTCCAGTTCAACGACACGGGCGCCATCCTCGCCCTCGACGACGTTTATTGCGTGCCGAGCTTGCTGACGCACCACATCTCGACGGCAAGTCTTGACGACTGCGGCGTGAAACTACGTTTTCAGAACGGCAAGATGGTCGTCACAGCGAATAATGATTCCACGACGATCACGAGGGCCCACAAGACGAACAACCTCTGGCCGCTCGACTGCGTGGTCATTGCGCCTCCGGTCGACTCGCGTGCGCCAGCTCTCGCGACGACGACGACGTCCATGTAGACAATGGAAGCAGCGCTTGGGGATTCTCTGGTCAGCAGACGCCACACACAAGTCTCAATAGTGTAGTAATGCCTGCGACGAATGAAGTTGCATGCAAGTATCCTATGACACCATTTCACTTGTCAATCAAGTCTCGGGCTCGAGCTCCACAGCACAGCACCACACCACAGGGTGTGGTACGGTGCCCACAGTTGGCACATCGTTGGTAGACTTGGATGTCGCTACACTGCCAAGCAACCGTCTGCCTAGCACTCGATCTGAGCTCTAGATCCGAGTCTATTCACAAAACAACAAACACGGTGAAAGAGTGTTCGACACATATTACTTAGATCGCAGCACAAGTGGTTTAGAACATCCAGCCGCGGACAAGCGCCTCCAAGATGGAGAGGATCTTGCTCTTCTGGTGGGGCTCCGTCGTGTTGCCCGTCGCGTTGGCGGCGACCGAGGCCGTGACGACCGGGACGTCCGTGACCGGGACCGTCGTGGCATCGGCGACCGTCGTGGCCGGGGCAACCGTCGTCGCAGCGACCGTCGTCGTGGCACCGGCGATGGGCGCGAGCGTGGCCGTCGCGTTCGTCTTGGGCAGCGGCATCTTGGTGACGAGCTTGACGCGGCGCGTAAAGTTCATGTTGGTGAAGACGTGCTTGAGCGTGTGGTTGAGGAAGTACAAGCCAAAGTAGTTTTCGACTTCGGCCGTCGTGTTGTCGCCCTCGAGGTGGCGCCACGGCGTGTCGTACGACGTGTACCAGTAGTAGTCCCACTGCACGTCCTTGGCGAGGAAGTAAAAGTCGTTGAGCCACGTCGCAGCCGCCGACGGCGTCGCGAGCGACGCGCCGTTGGACGTGCCATTGGTCGCCCAGCCCGTCTCGGAGATCAGAATCTTCTTCTTGTACTTTTGCGCCGAGAGCATGAGCGGGTACATGCGGTTGTACATCTTCTGCGCCGCCGTCTCGGCGACCGCGAGCTCCCAGAACGGGAACGAGTTGGCCGAGATGATGTCGACGGCCTTGACGAGCTGCGGGTACTGGATGTACGTGTCGGCGATGTCCGTGATCGTGATCGGAATGTACACGTCGGCCGCGTTCATGATCGAGCGGATCTCGTTCATGTCAGCGATGGCCGTCGAGACGTTGATGTCCTTGCGGTAGATGGCCTCGGACGCGACGTGGAGGCCGAGCGTCTGGTTGTTGACGTTGCCGTTCTTGAGCTGCTTGATGAGCGACGCCTTCTCCTCCGCGTAGACCGTGTTGTTGGGGCCGACCCAGAGACCTACCCAGATGCTCATGCCGGCGCGGCGCACGGCGGGGATGACGAGGTCGGCCGTGTTGCAGTCGGTCATGGAGTAGATGCGGATGCGGTCCGTGATCTTGCGGAGCTGCACCATGTCGAAGTCGATCTCGGTGGCGTTCTTGCAGCGCTTCTTGAGCGAGAAGTAGTCGGGGCCCTTGCGGGGCGTGTAGTTGATGCCGTACAGCTTCTGGTCGAGGGCCTCGACGGCCGTCGCCGCGAAGAGCACCGCGAAGAGGAGGGCAACCGTGCGCATGGTGGAGCAAAAACAATTGTGAGTCGTTGGCGCCGCAGTCAGTCGGCCAGATATCATCCTCGCCCATACTGTATCAAACGAGGGGCCGCCAGCCATTGCAGGCTGATCGAACCGAGTGCCAGCTGCGCGACGCCACCCCAAGCAATTGACCTCGCGCCAATCAGCGCCCACTTAATGTGCGACATGCGTCAAGATCGGTGGTGTGACTTGGTCGTCGTATGCCCGACGACCGAACCAGCCCGCCGCGATGTGGCCACGGCGGGCGGCTGCCACGGACGGCACGGCGCCGGCGGAAGCGTGTTCCAGCTCGGCGCTCGCCCGCCCGACGTGAGTTTTGCCGTTTCCGAGTTTGCACTTTGCCGACAGAGGCGCAGCGCGCTCCGTGAAGCGCTG